GCTTGCCTCTTTGTTTTTTTTTTTTTTTTTTTTTTTTACACTCTTTACTTCTCATACCCGTGTGAATGGTTTAAAAAAAAGTAGTAAAGTATCTCACAAATGCCGGTGCTTTGAAACATGAAACAACTCTTAAATTCTTTGGAATTTCAGGTCTAACCTGCAAAATAATCTTTTCTAAAAAAAAAAAAAATAAATTAAAGGAAGAACACAAATAAATGCCTTTCTCCTTTCTAAGTGACAAAAAGGACTACCTCGAAACACTCATTTTGGCATGTACAAGTTTTTTGAGGGGGGAACCTGGCAGTGTTCACAACACACATGAAGTGCCTGCTAAGAAAAAGCTAAAGATACACCCTGCAGTTAAGAGAAGCTCTTGCCTTCAGCTTATCTTAGCATCAAGAACAAAAAGATTGTAACATAAAGCTTTGGCCATTTCAATTCTACTATATACACTGTAAAAACTACACAGTCATAAATTAAAGCAGTGATTAAATAAGCTCATATAAAATGTAATTAAATTAAAAAAATCACAGCACATTATAGAGAAAAATAGGAACCAGTTTCACAAAAAAGAGATTATATATATATATATATATATTTTTTTTTTACCCTGTGGAAACAAATTTACTACGAAACACAAAAACTTCATAAGTAACCATCAATATGAGAATCATTTCTTATTCCATTCTTGCATTTTTACACAACCCTTAACCCACCTGGGGAACATTTCTGGAAATTAAGTCTTCCTTGAGCAACAGAGCAGTTCTGCCAAGAAAATAAACCCCAAACCGAAGGGGGGGGCGGGGGACATCCCAAACATACAAACTACAAAATAAATAAGAATTATAAAGTTTTTTTTAAAAGTAACCTTAACAATTATCAAACTAGTAAGTTCTGCCTTATCACATAGACTCTCTATACAACATAACCCTAAAACTTTATTACTATGAGGTATTTGGAGGAATTGGTAAAAGTGATGCACGGCCTGCCTGGTGAAGGGACTCGGTGAAGTGGGAGAACCTCGAGAGGGAATGAGGAGGAGGAGCTTTGGTTTATCAGCAAGAAATTGGGGGGAAGAAGTCATCCTTTGGTATCAAAGAAAGTTTCATTGCATGGTTGCACGGAAAAAGCACCACGGTGAATAATTATTCCTTTTTTTTTTCATTAGTGGCCTTTCCAAGAGGCTGAGGTATTCAAAGAGTATAAGGTGAGAGGTCAACAGCGGTTTAACACTTTGGTTCAAGCAAGGCACTCGTCCTAGGAGTTTACAAAGTTTGCAACATGTTTGCCTAGAGATTTACAAGTAGAACTAGCAGTAGTAAGAGTAGTATTTCCTAATGTTGTTATCATTTCGTATCATTATTATTAAGAATGAAGACAAGTTTACACACTGAGTGAAGAGTCGGGGGGGGGGGGGGGTGGGGGAGGGAAAAGGGTGGAGTTCCCTCTGCAGACCAAGGCCGTGCATGAAAATATCTTTGGTATTCTTTGGTATCATCAATGTGATTAAAATCACCAATGGAAATCGAGTGAGGTAGCGTCTTTGGTTCACACTATAAATAGTAGATTTTTACACTTTTTTTTCTTTTTTTTTCTTTTTTTTCTTTTTTTCTTTTTTTTCTTTTTTAACACATGGAAGTAGCTATTTCTTACCTTCTGCTTCTTTGTCCTTACTATTTAGGAAATAGTTACCAAATGTACTGTAAAGCTAACCACACCACAAGAATAATCCAGAAGGCCAATCGCATCTCAAAATGGCCTCTGGTGTTTGAATGCACCCTAAACAACTAGATAGGAAAGGGAGAAGTGCTTTCTCTTTGTTTGCTAAATGCATAGTTTTCATCCTTTATGTACAAAGAAGGGAGGACCTTTCTTAGGGAAAATGCCTTTATAGCTCATGTGAAAATGTCCTAGGACTCTTTGGTATAGCAAAGTTTGCATTTAACCTGCAAAGACGGATCATTCACCTGGGGTAGCAATGGGAGTGGCATGAGTCCAAAAGTAGCATAGTACTTTTACTTTTTTGTCCTGGAAAAGTAATTATGCTTTTTTGGGAGCAGAGTGAGTGACATGTTCAGTTGGAATGTCTGAATTTCTCCACATTCTCTTTGGGTTTGGGGATCTAGGCCAGCTGCATCCAGGGACTGGATACTTAGTTCCTGACATCCAGAATCATGTACCTGAACACTTACTGAAATCTGGGCTTTTGGATTGTCCAGACTTCCCATCTCCCACTCTCTCTCTTTGCCCCCTTTCAGTGAAGCTTATAGTCACGAGAGGACCTGAATGATTTATGGTCAAAAACGGTCTAACTTCCATTCTACCAAACCCCCCCCCAAAACATGTTATGTGAAGTGCAGTGTTGGAATAAACAAACATACAAATGAAAGAGTGAGATATCTTTTTAGGTGAATTTTGCAAAAGGATTGAGAAATAATGGGTGAGCAACTGGCACGTGATCTGCTCCCCTGAATGTGGTAGGTTAAGAAACCTGAGCCATAAACTAATGCTACATGCCACGTTAGAAGCAATAATCAGTCATATATGACGTAACGAGTGTATTGCTCGTGAGAAGCTGAGTTTGTCCATTATGACTTCTAAAAAGCAAAGGTTGTGAGTATGCTTGAACAGTCTAGTAAAAAAATTGCTTTTCAGGCTCTGATTTGTGCATCTGTTTATGAGAAAATATATCTCTAGGCCCTGAAATTGTGTAATGGGTGCAAATTCAATGCTGGTATGAAATTTATCTTTGGTGTTAGCAAACAGGATCACTGGATTATTTTTCAAAAAACCATTATGATGGGAATATTAGAAATGTAGTAATTTTCTTTGAGACTGTGTCTACACAGTACCAAAATAATTGGTCAAAAACGTAAAATGCAATTGGATTAATCTGAAGGAGTAATATAGCAAAAACAAAGCAAAAAACCATGGTGTTCGAATTTAACTTTTGTTTTCCCTGGGGTGCTGAATTTGGTAAGACTGTGTGTAGACACAGCTTGAGTTTCCCTGCATTTAAAATTCTCATGTTTTAAATAAATAAGGCTTTCCTCCCTCCTAAATTATAAATATATAGCTGTACCTCCTGGCCCCCTCCATTCTGGAGAGAGAAAAAGTTAATCCATTTTTTTTTCCTTTTGGTTTATGTCATCGACAAGATTATATGTTAAGCAAATCTCTAGGGGTGGCCATTGAAATGGTCTCTTTTAATAGTTGACTTGTAATTGTGCCATGTTTGGAAGGGAAAATTTTAAGCTGGAATTTGGTGTGAGATTAAAAAAAAATATACCAAGACAAAATGTGTCAAGGCAAATGCGCTATTTCATTAAAGGAGAAGCATGTGTTGGTTTGCTTTTCTCATTCTACAGCAGATATGAAGGAGACCCAGATGGCTTGTTGGTTTAGCTTCATCTCTCCAGGTGCCTGTCTCTTCTAGACCTAGACAAGACGCTCAGACCTTAGGGAGTTAGGTTTTTGTGTCAAGATAGTTCAAATTTTTTTTCTTTAGCATTTTAATGACTCTCAATCAACAACTTATTGTAGGTATAACATTTCATTTTATATTTCTAATTAGGTGTGGTAATTAACCAAGAGCACCCAATTCTTTACCTAATAGTACAAAAGGTATTCACTTTTATGAATTACAATTCAATGGAATTCAGAGAGAATTTTTCTGGGAAGCAAGTGACTCACTTGGGTACTACTAGCACAACTGTGTTAGCTTTTTTCTTCCCCCTTGATATCTCCAGCTGTGGTTAAGTGATTTGGAAAAATAGAGATTGAAAATTTTGTCTTTGGAAGCTCAGGTCTAGGGTTTTCTCTGTCCCTGTCAGAGAGTGGACTCTATGTCATAAAATTTCCAGCTTAATGCGGTAGCAAGAAAGAATGTAGTACACTTTGGAGGCTGTGCTTAGTGAAATAAATAGCTTCATGCCTACAGAATCCAAAGTCTTGTCTTCGACTAGAACTCTGGTGTTTTCTATACTATTCCACCATTTCTCAGTTGCATCTGCTATTTCTATTGATATTCAAGTCATACAATATCTGAGATTGGCAATAAAGTCAATTTGACTATAAATACTGGATAGTTCATTTTAATAATAATGTTGGTCTGCTCACTTTGTGTGTTTGCAAAGTATTTTTAAAAAGGTATTTGGTGTCAAATGCATAAAGCAACTTTAAGTCAAATTAACTTAAGTATAATATCCTTTATTCAGTGGTCTTTCACTAAAAAAGCATTACTTAGAACAAATTTTCTAATTTAATTACTTGCTCTGTTAAACTTAGTTTTCTAATTTACAAATGGGGTCCTACTTTGGAAGAATCCCCAGGTTTTCTCAGCTATGAACAGATCATGTCCATATGTCTACTTAAGTATCATTTATGGATCCCGAAAGGGAGTGTGCCATCTGGATGCACATGTCCACTACACTGACCTCTCTGTTATGATATTAATTGCTTCCCTGAAGCTACATTCTTTCTTGCCAGTTCTGAAAACTAATATTTCAAATGCATCAAGAGTCATAAATAATAGTCATGATTCTATGTGGCATGTGTATTACAGCTAGATCAGTTCATACGTATAACTTTACATAGTATCTTGTGTAAAAATAGCTTTGGTTATTAAAATCATTGCAATAAAATACCTGCACTATAATATTAAGTGTGTTCTTTGGTACCTAGGTGATTTTTTTTAAATGGATGAACTCTTGTTTCATTTCTTAAAAAATATCTGAACATTCCTTAACAAACAAAGAGAATGCACTGGTTTAGGTGTCATTCAAATTTTCTTTGCTGGGTTTGAATCTGCATTTAGGTTGCGGGCCTGGCAGGTTCAAACGCTAGGCTAGACGAGCGAAATCACATTCCTATCCAATGAAATCAGACAACCCCACACTATGTTGGTTGTACCCCTATAGCACAACCCTTCCTGAAGACCAGCCCTGTCTAAGTCCCTAACCACTGGTGGTGTGTGCATGTGTGTGTGTGTGTGTGTGTGTGTGTGTGTGTGTGTGTGTATGCACTCACGTACCCACACACAGTACTGAGACACCATACACCTTCGCGGCATGGTGGAACAGATGAGAAAGTCTGATCTTAAGAGATGTCCACTCAATGGCTCAAAATCACTATGCTCCACACCACGGAACAGCCAAGCACAGCGAGAATGATCATGGATGGAAGGTGTGAGATCCAGTGGTGCTTTCCCGCTCATAATTTTTCTTGCCAAGTCGTTGCCCCGCTGAAGTGTGTGTCTCCGAACAAAGTCAGAATGCAGGTGAGCGAAGTCTTTGGTTTCTTTGGACTATAAATAACGCTTTTTTTTTCTTCAAATATTTCTAAGTATAAACCTGCTATCTTGAGGTCCTGGTCTTTTAAAAATTTTTTTTTTATTTAAAGCTTTTCCACCGAGGTTTAGTTCGTGGTTATTCCTTCATGCTTTGGTACAAGTGCTTGATGAAGAAGATGAGTTGCCTGAATTGGAGCTGCCTTCGTCCTGCCACTTGTCCAGACTCCTCCTCCTCGCGTTCATGAAGAAATTGCTGACGGTGCTCAACTCCAACCCCAGCTGCTGGGAAATAGTGATTTGCAATTCTTTGGACGGGCGCTTGTTTTCCTTGAATATTGCATGTAGAGTTCGACGCTGGACATCTGTGAAGACCAACCTGGGCTTTTTGGGTGTGTTGCCTCTATCCTTCCCATGTTCTTGTTCTTTCCTTTTGCATGCTGCAAAAAACAAAAAACAAAAAACAAACAAACAAAAAACCACAGCGGATGTTAGAACAAACTGCCCGGAAGATTCGAGAGTAGGAAGGCAGAGCCAATAACATTTATTTGCCATTCCTCACGGACAACTTTGTGGCTGCTGAGCTCTACTTTTAGGACCATGGTGGGCTGGGAGGGAAGTGTGATACAAGGATGGAGAATTTGGAGGAGGTGGGGTTCTGTGAATCCTGGGTGTGGGTCCTGGCTTTGTAAGCATCTGCTCTTTGTCCGCGGCGAGTGGTAAACCAATGAACTCCACCTTGGCCTCAGATACCTCATTGGCAGAACACAGGGTTCTGGCAAAACAAACTTGTTGCTTGAATTTTTATATCACCATCTGCAAAATGGATATAAGAATAACAGTCCACCTGCATGGTTCAGTTGGTTCAGTGTCTGCCTTCGGCTCAGGTCATGATCCCAGAGCCCTGGGACTGAGTCCCACATAGGCTCCTTGCTCAGTAGGAAACCTGCGTCTCTCCCTCCGCCTGCTGCTCCCCCCACTTGTGCTCCCTCTCTCTCTCTGACAAAAAAAGAAAAAAGAAAAAAAAAAAGAATACCTACCTTGCTGGATTGTGGTAAGGATTTATGAAATAGTATATGCAACAGTTTATGTTAACTGAAATGCTTTATGAATGCAAAGTCTTATCACCTAGAAGTGGCCGTACCCCTCAAGGGTTTTACAGTCTGCTCCTGGTAGAATACTAAGAGCCTAAGAGAGTCTGAAAACAATATAAAAAGGAATTGCATTTGTTATCCTTCTGATCTCCTGTTTCCCAGACAACTTCGTATGTAAGAAAACTGTAGATAGCATGCTACCATACCCATCAGTCTTCCACTGATTATTCAGTGGAACCAGGACTCTTGGAGGTGTGAAGGCTACTTCCTTGCCACTGGGGCTAAACCTGTTGCATGAGGCACATTCCCCTTGGGGGTCTCTCTATGCCTCCTGTTTGCTCTTCATGAAAGTTTTCCTTTTGGAGTGCCCCTCTTCCCCTACCTTAGCTCCCACACAGAAGGCCCATTCCCTGCTCATGTCTTTTGGTCCTGCATCATGTATCATGCTTCTTGGCTGCTAGAACTATTCTGGTGTATCATCCCATTGGGGATGGCCCTTGGGCCCCCAGGGTTTGGTGTTGGATCAGTGTTTCTCCTCATCTTGGGGGCCATACTTCCTCTTTGTAGACTAATATGGCTCACCAGCTTCCACCTGCCAAGGAGGCACTAAGGGCTGCATTGCTAACAGCACCCTTCACCCACTCCTAATTTCCACCACCAATCAATCTCTACAGCCATCCCCAAATAACCATATAATCTATATAAAAATGATGCTTGGGGCAACTGGGTGGTTCAGTTGGTTAAGCATCTGCCTTTGGCTCAGGTCATGATCCCGGAGTCCTGGGATCAAGCCCTGCATCGGGCTCCCTGCTCGGCGGGAAGCCTGCTTCTCCCTCCCCCACTCCCCCTGCTTTTGTTCCCTCTCTCGCTGTGTCTCTCTCTGTCAAATAAGTAAATAAAATCTTTTAAAAAATGATGCTCTGGTTATGCTAATGCAACTTAAGATAAGGCTCCTATGCCCTGACTCCAATCAGACTGCTACCTCTCAGCACCCACACAGGCACTGGGGACCAGACTG